ACTCTTTCCAGCACTGTGTGGAGGCTGATGTTTCTATGTACCACATTCATTTATTCATTCATTTAGTCTACACGTTTAGATAAGAGCACCTTGTGTGTTTGAAGATGAGTTAAGACAAATACTTTGGACTCTAAGGACTTACTCTTATTCCAGGGTCTTCTCAAGAAAAATTTAAGTTCCTGAAGAAAAACATTTGTTTTTCATAAACATTAGCACACACCCAGCCTAGAGTCAGCTCTTCAGGGGCCTTTGGAGAATGCCAGCCACATACACTAATAAAGACAGAATCATGCTAGACAAGAGCAGGATTGGGGCTGCTGGATCTAAAAGGATCTGGATCCCATAGACAGACTCCATCTTCCTCAAATCAAGTCACTAACTACTTTAGAGCACACACCAAAAGTATGTAGTCCGATCTAAATGGAATGCAGACCGTGGAATTAAGAGGATGGTTACTCCATGGTGTCTGGAGTTACTAAAGGGGGAGGGAGAGGAACAGGTGGCCAGTGATCTCTTTACCAGGGAAGAACTGGACTATTAATGGAGAATCATTCTTTTTTGTAAAATCAGTGTTTCACATGTATTTGCTTAAGCCCTGTAGGATAAATTTATTTTCCTTAGAAGGGTGGTGTCATTTTCTGCACTTTTTCCCAACATACATCATTATTTAGGTATTAACTTCATAAAACATTCTTTAGAGTTCAAGTATCTATGCTTATGCACAAAGTCCTCTCCAGGGCTGTGAGGTCACAAAATTTTGGCCTTCTCGTGTTTGAAAAAAATGTCCTCAAAGAAATGGTCATATAGACTCTTTTAATATGATCCAGCAATTCTTAGTAGTCTTTATTTTAGTATTATTCTTTGATAATTTTAAAATAATTTATTTATTTGTATTTTTATGTCTATGAATGTCTTGCCTACATGTATGCAAGTGTACCACATGCATGCAAGTAAGTGTACTATGTGCATGCAATCCCTGCAGAGGCCAGAAGAAGGTGTCAGAAACCCTGAAACTAGAGTCATTGACAGTTATTAGTCTCCATGTGGGTCCTGGGAACTGAACCCAGGGCCTCTGCAAGAACAGCCAGTGCTCTTAACCACTAAGCCATCTCTGTAGCTCTTTTTTAAAAAGCATATCTCAATTTATTATATTTATTTTTATGTGTATGAGTATATTGCCTGCATGTGTGTAAGTGCACTTGTGTCATGCAGTGCTCATGGAGGTTAGAAGAGGGCATCAGATCCCCTGGAACTGGAGTTACAGGTGGTTGTTAGACACCATGTGAGTGCTGGGAACCGAACCTGGGTCCTCTGCAAGAGCAGGCAGTGCTCTTAACCACGGAGCCATCTCTCCAGCCCTTCTGCAGCTCTTTGATAATTTTTAGAATCTACTTTGACTTGATGTTTTCTCCCTATGGTTCTTACTGGTCTTTTCATCTTACAATACAGCTTGCAAAGCATTTCAAGCAGCGTATCTTTATATTACGATTTAATCCTACAATAATCACACAAGGTTTTTATTAATTCTCCCCATTTCATAGACAAATAAATGAGGCTCAGAAAGCTGAGCTGACTTTCCCTAAGTCATATAGCTACGAATACATTACAGGCACAAGACTAAAATCTCATTTTCTAATCCTACTCCTGTTTTCCTTCTCTTCTGCATATACTTTCACTCATCCCCATTCTTTTATTTTTTGAGTCTTTTTTTTTTGAGAAATAGTCTCCTTATAGCCCCAGCTGGCCTGAAACTTGCTATGTAGACCAGGTTGGCCTTGATCTCACAGAAATGTGCCTGTCTCTACCTCCCCAGTGCTGGGATTAAAGCTGTGCACCACCTTGCCTAGCCCAGGTATTTTTTGAGCCTTATGTAGTTTTTGCCAACTTTTTGTTCATGGTGGACACCTTGTCTTATTTCTTTTTATTGCGTTGGCTCTTGAATGCCTCAGTCTTTCTGTTGACCAACTGAAGTAATTCTTCACCATGTAACTACAGATGAAGTGAAGATTGCATGCCATAGATAGGTCATAGGTACAAGTGACTCATTAAGAAGACAGACAGGTGGCTAGACAGAGAACAGGTTCAGCACAATGGGGGCATGATGCTAGTTTTCAACGTGTTCACAGAGCTGATTTAGAGCACAAAAAAAGTCTCTTAAGGTACTGTTTTTGCACCAAAAAGCCTAAAAAGAAGCCTTCAGGCTTTCAGGATAATTTCTAGGATGAGCTGATGCCCAGAGATGCAGAGGCCAATCACACAATCTCTACTCTTATTTGGAGGATATTTTTTGACCTTCAACCAATGCACTGGAGTTTGGCAG